GAAACGAACTAATGATGTATATACACATTACTGTATCTCTCTCTCACTGATCTCCCTTGTACATCATTACAGGTCAAACCACGTTTCTAAAACTGGATTAACTGGGCTAACAGAGACGCTAATAATACCACCTGATAATAATAATAATAATAATAGTGAATTTAATTAATATAACCTTGTCCATCTCCATGAATTGTGATTATATCTTTTAAAGAACTTTTTAATAAACCACACTAATGAATTAATAACCACTCGTTAATAACTATTAATAACTTACTGCACTTGTTAATGACATGACATAATCAGCTTCACCTTCATTAACATTAGTTATATTATTTTTAATTCTTATATAATAATAATCATTGCTAAGAGCCGCTTTCTATATAATAGAAACAATATGGTATGTGCACTTTAAATAGAAATACCTCAAAAAGGCTGCTGTCTTCATCAGTTAAAGTGTCTTGAGAGAGAGAGGGAGAGAGAGAAGAGGAGCTGGATCTAAACGTTAGAGTACCTCGTACTTTAAACACTCCTCCTGAAATAATATCAATAATAGTAACAGGAACAACTGCAGGTATAATCATAGAGGGAAAGTTGCTACATTTTGAAATATTGATAGGGTTTAATTTAGCAAAATTGCAGTCTCCTCCAAAATTATCAGCAATAGAATGAAATGTATCAATTACCTGATCCAATGGAGTGTTCAAGATCCAATGAATGAACTAAACCAGTGTCTGAGGCTCCACCCACTTCATTAACAACAGGAGCTCGACCCTGTTATTACTCACTATTAATAGTCATTATAAATTATTGTCTCACTTTTTCTTTAACAACTTTCTTTCCAGCTCCATCTCCAGGCCTCAGGGAACACAGGAAAAGAACAAAAAGAACAAGAAAACATTTCATACTCAGAACACTGCGAGGAACAATGACAGTTTATAATGCACCACATGCACGGAATCCACGGATTTGCTTTTAAAAGATTACGGAAATTTTCGGGTTAGTTTGCAGGACAAAAGGGCAGGGCTGATAGTGGGTGTGGCTACTAAGGAGACGCTCTTAATGGCTGAAGGTGGAGGAGATTGTGTTGGTGATCTTCTCTCCCAGTTCCGTTGTCTGGGGACTACAGACCGTGAAGTATTGATAAAGGAGCTTCACTCTATACTAGGGGGCACTGTCACCAGAGACCAATGTATCTTTGTACTGGAAATGACTAGTTGGTAAGGTGTTAT